TCTTTCAAGCTCTCTTCATGGCCAGAAGCCTTTCCATTGCTTTGTGGACCATGTGCTTCAGAACCCATCCTGGTAAGACAGGAAATTCATTCACTGACACATATAGATGACCATCTTTACAACTTGTAAGAAAATATTTAGAAAGCAATATTGAAACCTTACTTTTTACCATAATGATATGAAGACAAATGAGATGCTTAGAATTTTCCAATTCTCTTACTTCTGTATTGGGCTAGCTATTGGGTTGTCTGGAAGGTCATGATGCATTTTTGCATAGAAAAATATGTCATGACCTTCCTGACAACCTAATATAAAGCAGTGTTCTATTTGTGGCTTGGATAGGTACATATGATCTGCTTGGCATGTTACATCAGTGAAAAGGATCACCCACAATCAAACATGCTAGGCTCATTGACCAGTATTGTGAAGTTCATTCAGCTGTATAGACCAAGTAGCTCATTAAGGCACAAGACAAAGACGGGTACAACACAGTCTTTACCTCAGTGATCTCTAAATCTTAGTCTCTGGAGGGAAGGCTTTTTTATTACCTTTAGTATTATTACATGTTTAGCATTTTTCTAGTTGACCCATCCGTGCCATAGGTAATTTAGTTTTGTACTAATTTAGGCATATATACTTAAGTTTATCTTGAAAGATTCGGCCAGCACTTTTGTTTTTTTGCAACTGGACAATATGTAAAATCTTAATAATTGTGAGCTTAAAATAATGTGTGGCAAGTGAGGGAATAAGATCCAGGGTGCGTTTGTATTTTTCAACAATGTCACTTTATTGTGTGTAAAATTTAGCGTAGCAAAGCATTCAGGTCATGAGATAACAACTCACACAAGCTGGTCACCCTGAGCAGTCTCTGGAGGTGAAGAGCCAGTTGCCATACTTGTCCCAAGTATCTACTCACAAAGGGAGGGAGTCGGTCTGATGGGTTCCTGGAGGTCTTTCAAAGGACCTGAAGGGGGCACTGAGGCCAGGACGAGTCTTGGGCAGAGTCTCACATACCAAGGGCTGTGAATCTGTCAAAGTGGCCAAGAGTGATGTGCTCTGGTCACGGCAAGTGACACTGGTAAGGACTCCTTTTCTGCCCCAAGGTGGGTAGAGTCTCTTAGATTAGCATCTGTGCCATAAGTGTAGCATAAGGCTAGACCAGCAGTTGGTTTAATGGCTATGCTGCTGAACTCCCATGTAGTCAACCGTGGTTTGAGTCCCAGACTCTGTGGCTTAAACTCACGCCAGGCACGTGTGCGTGCGTGCCCAAGATCCCAAGAGGAGAATGGAGGAGAAGGGATTGTGGCATGGCCATCCACCGCGGGGGGTGATTCCTTGCTTTCTGTCTCTATGTCTCTCTCTGTCTGTCTGGCAAGCACAAGCACCCTATAGCAAAAACCTCTCCAAAAAAATAAATAAATAAATAAAAATAAAGAGTAGTGTAAGGCAAGTTTGCCTGTCTCTGCTCAGGTAGACCAGTGTATCTGGAGTTGTCAGGTTTGGGTATCCCTGTTATTTCTCAGTTTGGCAGGCAAAGCAAGAATTGGGGTGTACATGTCACACTCTTTACTACTCAATGCAGTCTTGTCATTAACTGAATCCATTTTGTATAACATGGTGCTCTCCCCATTGGGGCCATAGGTAACTACACACAGTTTGGAAAGGTGTGGGCCAGAAGCTGCTCTAGATGGGAAGAAGGGGGCATCTCTTGAGCTCTAGAAATAGAAAGTACCTCTAAGAGGAGCCCAGCTCCTTTTTATTTATTCAGTAATTCTTTTTCATTCTCATTCCTCTCCCCTATTCTCTCCACGCCTCATACCAATCTATTCCTTAATCCAGAGGACCTAAAGTAATGACTGAGAGGACAGAGGTGCGCAGTAAAGAAGGTGGAGTGGAGATAATAAAAGGAGTGAACAACATTTAAATTAATGCCACAAGGAGCTGTGGGAAGACTATGTCTGGGAATGTTAGCCTGGGTTATCCTTCTTCCATGTGAACAAAGCAAAATCAATTAAATGTTTTCTGATTCTTTAGAAGGGAAATAAAAGAGCACTGATAACATTTCATTACTTTCCTGCCAGGGACTATGTAAACCAGTTTTATATTTGTTAAAAGATTTGTGGAATATTGTGAATGGGTTCTTGAATAGACTGTTAGACTCTCTCCTTATTTGGTAATCTAAAAACTGCAGTTCTTAGTTCTGCCCTCTTGAAATAATTTAGATGAAACCGCCTAAAGGTAGGGAGGTCATTTTTTTATAGTCTAGAGAAATTTTTAGGCTCTTTGATTCTATGAATGGACCTGATTCAAACATAAGTGATGAAAACAGAACTCTGTGGTGGCTTTATTGGGTCATCAGAAAAGTCATGACATATTTTTCATGTTTTTTTCTATGCAAAAATGCATCATGACTTTTCCGACAACCCAGTATTTAAATTTACTTTTTTCTTCTTGCATTTTGACTTTAAATAATGTAAGGGAAATTTTTAGAAGTCAGATAAATCCTTTGTGAATTGGCTATTTCCTTTTTTGTTGTCGTTGTTAAGAGATTTTTTTTTTTTTTTGCTATAGGGTACATGCGCTCAACAGAGAGACAGAGACAAAAAGCGAGGATTCACTCCTCGCGGCGAATGGCCACAACACGATCACTTCTCCTCCAGTCTCCACTAGGGATTTGGGCATGAATGCATATGTGCCCAGTGTGGGTTTCAAGACTCTGGGTCCTGGACTTGAGCAGTGGTTGGCCATGTGGGAGTCCAGTGATGTAACCATTACGCCATCTGCTAGTCTCATGAATTCACTATTTTATGTTTCTGTATTACCTTTCAGTTCTCATTCAGTGCCTCCATATTTATTATGCAGATAAAATGATAACGTTGATGCATTTTTCTGTATGAATATGTGTATGTGTGTTTTTAGGACCTTACAGGTGGGGACCAGCAGGTGGCATGGTGGCTGGCGTGCTGGACTCACACATAGCTGACCATGGTTCATCCATGGTTCCAGACCTGGCAGCTTTTGCTTTCTCACTTTTCCCCCCCTCTTTCCTTGTCTTTCTCTGATGAGCATACATGCCCTATAGCAAAATTAATAATAATAATAATAGCAACAATAAATAAGATTAAATAAACAATTCTTTAGCTTACATGTAGAGAGATGACTAATCACACTTCTCCAATCATGGCATGTTATCACTGGTCAGAACTGGGTTCATTGCTATTTATTTATTCATTGATCCCTTTTTATTCTCATTTCTGAGTCTCATTCTCTCCCCTACTTCATACCACTCTATTGTGTTCAATGTATATAGGCTTTTATTTTTACGTGCCCTTGAAAAATGTTTGTGGTGTTTTGTGTCCATTTTAAGTGTACATAAGTGATATTCTGTGTCCTTTGGTGTAATCCTATTGTGTATATATATGCTTGGGCTTGTTATTTTTTTATTGAATTCCACAGCCTATCTACCACATTTTCCCTCTCCTCTATCTCCCCACTGCCACAGGCAACATTGTCATGAGCATCTTCAAGTGGATCATTATGGTGTACATAAAAGGTGTGCCTCCTGGGAGAACATGTCTATCTATGAGTTAAATTGCTGGTCATACAAGCTATATGTACCTTATTTGCTGGGAAGACTGAACTAGGTTGCACTCCCAGTTGCAATTCACTTTTTAAAAAAAAATTTATTATTTTTAAAATTTGCTATAAGGCACACAAGCTCACCAGAGAGATACAGAGAGAGAGAGAGAGAGAGGAAGACAGAGAGAGGGAAAGTGAGGAAAAGGAAAAGTGAGAGAGAAGAAAAATGAGAAAGCAAACTGCCTGGTCTAGGATTTGAACTATGGTTTCCTTAACTACTATGTTACCTGCTGTCCCATACAGTTCACTTTTTTTTTTTTTTAATTTGAGAGAGATAGATTTTTGCTGTAGGGTATGTGTGCTTGCTGAGAGAGAGAAAGCCAGAGATCACCCTGGCATGGCCATGCCACAATTCCTTCTCCTTTGTTCTCCTTGTGGAATTTTGGGCATACATGCACATGTGCCCTGTATGAGTTTTAAGCCACGGGGTCCAGGACTCAAATTGTGGTCGACTACATGGGAGTCCAGCAATGTGACCATTATGCCTTCTGCTGGTCCCTGCAGTTCACTTTGCTATCATTAGAACTACCCAGCTTTCTGATTTTTGGCAGACTAATAGGTATAAAATGATAAATAGTTTTAATTTGAAGTTTTCTGATCACATACAAGTTGGAGCATCTTTTAATGGTTAATTCAATGGCATATTCTTGGTGAAATTTAACTTTTTATCTATTGCAGTATGTGTCTGGTTTTTGATATGCAGGTTAACATAAGGAAATATATTGTATTTAACTGTAATAATTAAGTTGAATGATAGACAGCTGCCAATGGTTGACCACTTTTGGCAAAAACAGCAAAATCTATGGTCCAACTTAATATATTATTAGACAGACAGGTCTTTCCAAGTTTTTACTATTATGAATAATATTGCAATAACCATATGCTGCAACATACTTCATTTTTCTTCTTTTAAATTTGTCCTTAGGATAAATTCCTTAAAAAAAAAATCATTGAGTCAGGGAATAAACATTTAATAACTATTGCTACATATTTCCAAATCACTTTCTAAAAGGACTGTACTGATTTACCATACGCATCATTTACATTGTGACTGCACTTGCTTTTCTCTTAACTTCATCATCATTATTCTTTATATTTAAAATACGATTTTAACAGCTATACAACATTATTGCTTCCATTTGTATTTACTTACAGTTCATTAAATAATTTATTCAGGTGTTCATTGATGAATATGAGTTTCTTTTTATGAGTATGGTCTATTTATCTTACAGTCTAAATCTGTTTTCTTCTTAATGTCTTTTTCTTTTAGTCACTCTGAAAGTGCTTTTTCATGTACTGTAGATTTATCATCTTCATTCCTGAAAATGAAATTACTTATTTACATACAATTTATTTTTCAGATGACAATCAAAACAAAACGCATGATAAAAAAGAGAAGAAGATGGTGGTTCAGAAGCCCCATGGCACTATAGAATACACTGTAAGTATGAACAGGGTGGTATGAATGTTTATTAATATTACTAGATTTACATAATATTCTAACACATTCTATAATTTTGTATATCCATTAAATAGAGAGCTTCTTAATACTCATCCCAGGTCATTTCTTTTCCCCCGTATTTATTCTCTGGCCAGTCTCTTGTAAGCCAATGACTTGAGGATGTGAGGGCAATCTGGCTGCAACATCTGTCACCTCCCTGATCACCAGGCAGATCTAGTGGGTGAAGTGAGTGTCCCCTTTTCCCCTCACTCCTTCCTGTGCATTCTACTGATGCCGAACTGAAGAGGACAACCTTCCTCAATAGAGAAGGGCTGTTCCTTGGGCAAGGGTGTACTAATAGTTACAGGTCCCTTCTAGAATCTCCACAGAACCAGTGACTTGAATTACCTATGATGTGACAATGACTACCGATTGTAGGTCTCCATCTTAGATATCCTTTCTGAGTTCCAAAGCCATGCCTTCAGTTGCCACTCAGCAGATCCACTTAGTCCTCCATGCCTGGTGTTTTTTTTTCAAGAAGTATTTGTCCCATCATCTGTACATTTATATGAGCCAGACCCTTACCTTTGACATCTTTCTTTCTCTCTTTCTTTTTTTCGTACAATTTGCTATTATCCAGTTGTGCTCACCTGAGAGAGACAGAGTATGAGAGGGAAAGTGAGAATTCACCCTCTGGAGGAATGGCCATGCTGCATTCCCTTCTTCCTTCTTCTCCATTCTCTTCTTGGGACTTTGGGCATACATGAACACGTGCCTGGTGTGTTTTTAAAGCTGCTGGGTTTGGGACTTGAACTGTGTAGTTAGCCATGTGGGATCCAGCCACCTTAACCACAATGCCACCGACTGGTCCGACATCTTTCCCTTATTCTCTAGGTTCATTCCTATCTTCTGTGACCATCCAGCAACTCTAGACAGATCTCTTCATTTCACACTCACAGAATCATGTCTTTCTACATAATTTATCTTAGTTTAACATTGTTTATGAGTGTGGTTGTTATTTTAACACCTATCCTGTGCCTTAATTCATATATCCATGGGAAAAGACTAGACTCTTCCTTCACTGTTGCATTCTTAGCACCTTTTAGGGCATTACCCTTCATATTGTTGAAGCAGTGACTGAAAAATGCTATACGTGTGTCCGTTAATAAAGTCCCACAGTATGTGCCATGTGCTCATCTCATTCACTGCACTGTGAAAGGAGCTTATTTGATTTTTCCTAGGCTTGGTACAAAGTGAGTATTCTGTTACAGATCTACTTTAATTCACTGTGAAATAACCCTGTTAAAGAATATTCTCTTAAATGTCTAAGAAGAAATTAAGCGCTGTTTTCATTGCCTGGTTGTGTTTTCCTAATGGGTAATTATCTTATTCCCATAGTTTGTATGCCATGCTAGGCCCACTGAAAGGCAAGCAAGCCCTGATCCCCCCAACCCCCAGTGTATCTTTGGAGTAGTAAATCTCCTCCCAGCTCTTGCAGTCACATTAAGGAATGCTGGCACAGACATTTCATGTTTAGTGCTCTGTAAAGATTTCTGGACATTTTTCTGGGGTTTATTAGGCTTAGTCATTTTCATAAAGGATTTAGGGTGATGATGCCTCACATTTTCACTATCTAAAATATCCTCATAGCACAGAGCACAGTGCCTTACCTTAAAATAGGCACAAGAAGTGTTGGATTAAATTATTTGTCATTAATACGGATATTAATTCTAAAGCCATCATCCCTAAGACCTGTGTGTCTCCAGCAGTGTGACTTAAAAGCCCTTCCAAAGAATCCAGAAGTGCTGTTTGCCAGGAGTTTCTTCACACAGTGTATACCAAACAGTGCGGTGAGAGTAAATCTACCGCCAAATTAATTAATAAACAAGTAATCAAATTTGTAATGCAGATAGGCCTGTTTGATTTATATGTTATGGAGTTGAATTCCATTTGGCTAGTCATTTTTGTACTCGTCTTTGGAAATAAAAAATCACTTACATAACTTCATGTTTAGAGAGCGTGCTAGCTCTTGCCACATTGCTTATGCTGCCCCTGAGCTGTGACACTTAATCATTCTGACTTAGTTTGAACATGTAATGATACCAGTATCTTTTGCAGGGTCTGTGGCCTCAAGCTGTATGTATGTCTTATCTTTCTATAATAACTCCAAGCTGTTAAAGTTTCTCTTCTTCCCTGTAACTCCCATACATGGTGTCTTTTTTTTTTTTTTTTTTTTTATCTTTTTGTCATGGGATGTATGTGCTTGCTGAAGAGACAGAGAGAGAGAGTGAGAGGGAAAGTGAGAAATCACCCCCAAGGGGAAATGGCCACACCACAATCCTGTCTTCTCCATTTTTCTCTCCTGGGAATTTGGGCATGCATGCACATACTCTTGGCATGAGTTTTAAGCCACCAGGTCCAGGACTTGAACCACCATCAGCCATATGGGAGTCCAGCACCTTAACCACTATGTCACCTGCTGGGCCCTACAATATCTCTTTTAAGTTTACTCATAAAAATATGAAGTAAATTTATTGACCACTTATGAACTAAGTGCTATAAAGCAGGTATTACGATGATCTCTATTCAATAGATGAACTGAGACATAGGGAAGTTAAGCAAATGGCCCAAAGTAGGAAGTGGCAGACCTGGAGTTAAAATACAGCAGTCTCACTCCAGAGGCTAGATTTTCAGTTCATGTTTTGTACTGAATACAAACTCTAAAAGCCTCTGGGTTTGAATATATTACATGAATACCTAATACTGGGAAAATTTTTTTAAAACCTTTTTTGGTTTTAGTGGATCAGATTTTTTCCCAGGTTGGAGGTCATGCTATATGTTGTTTACTTAAGTTTTCAGTGATTTTTAAACTATATATATCTATATATATATCTATAGATATATATAGTTTAAAAATATATATATGTATATGTGTGTGTGTGTGTAGTTTGACTCAGGACTATCAGTAGCAACTTGTCAATGACATTTATCAGAGTGACCTTCTAGTGCCAAGTTCACCCAGTGACTCTGAACAGGGTCTCTGTCCTGAGATATGGACATGACTGTAGGCAGCCCACTTCTTTCTGAGTAGAACTTTTTTTCACTGTGACATTTTCCATCTTCTCATTGCCCTCTACACTTATTTTCCTATTGTTAAAGGAAAGAAAGGTGTCCACATGTGACAAAGCTTCCAGATTGAAAGAATAACACTAATTGGGAACCAGCAGTTAGCATAATGGCTATGTCGCTGGACTCCCACGTAGTCGACCGCGGTTCGTGTCCCGGACCCGGTGGCTTAAAACTCACGCCGGGCACGTGTGCGTGCGTGCCCAAGATCCCGAGAGGAGAATGGAGGAGAAGGGATTGCGGCGTGACCATCCCCCCGGGGGGTGATTTCTCGCTTTCTGTCTCTATGTCTCTCTCTGTCTGTCTGGCGAGCGCACGCGCCCTACAGTGAAAATCTCTCCAAAAAAAAAGAATAACACTAATTCATCTGACCATGGAAAATTGTCGTATGAATGACAGTGAACAGTTGTTGGTAGCCTATCTGAATTTCTTTCTGTTTTCCTTGCCTTTCATACTATTAGTTCATCAACTATTTGAATACCCTCTATGTGTCAGGCACTGTGTGGAACACTGGGGGGAAGCCATTAACAGGTCACTGACTGGGAGCTTACAGGACAGAGAAGAGACAGGCAAATAAACAGAGAGAAAGTGGCCCGACTTCCCCGATGGGTGGGTATTGTATGTGTGTTTTATTTCTCTTCTTATAGTTTTATATTGCACCAAATACAATATAAAACTACCTGACACACCTAAGTCATTCCAAAGTAAAATTTTAAAAGCTCCTTTTTCTCTTTTTTTTTTTTTTGGAGAGGTTTTTGCTATTGGGCGCGTGCGCTCGCCAGACAGACAGAGAGAGACATGGAGACAGAAAGCGAGAAATCACCCCCCAGGGGGGATGGACACGCACGCACACGCGCCCGGCATGAGTTTTAAGCCACCGGGTCCAGGATGTGAACCGCGGTTGACTACGTGGGATTCCAGCGACATAGCCATTACGCTAAATGCTGGTTCCCAAAACTCCTTTTTTTCTTGTACCTGAAGTAATGGATAGTCTCTAAGTCAGTAGTTTCCAGACTTTGAGAGCTCAGAATAGAAAAATTACATAAAAATTGGAAACTGATATAGAATATGGACTTCATATTTTGCAAGGCAGTACCCTAAGATCTCCAACAATTACTACTTCTATTTTTTAGTTGTTGCATAAAAGAAATTTCCAAGGAAATACAAAGGACATATTCTCTGACTGAAGGAAAGTTCTTAAAATTGAATAAGTTGAGAAACCAACTCTATTGTTCTTATTTAGCTTCTCACTCCATGCAAACTGTTGAAAATGTCATCATAGGCTGACCCTACTCAATAGATTGGTGCTCATTGACTGGCTTGTACTTGGGAGTGTTGCCTTAGCTGAAAGGAAGGTTAAGCAGGCCATCGAAGGTTAAAGCAAGTTATCTAGTGACATAATGGGAAAGCTGAGACTTATTGATCATTTGTTTATTCCTTTGTTGAACAAATATTTGATAAGCACCACAATGTAGTTTACAGATATTAAATAACTCATTCAAGATGATTAATTTTTGTTAATTAATTGTAGAATTGGGGGAAAAAATCAGTAATCATTTTACTTTTGCCTTTTGATGTGGACAGATTTTGGGAATTTTAACCTAATTACTAATGATTCTGGAATAAGACTTTTAAAAAGCGGGATCAAGAAGCAGCAGGTGATAGGGTAAATGGGGCATTGGATCCCCATATGGGGGGTGTCAAGTCCTGGACCTGGTGGCTTTCTTTCTCACTCCCCAGCCCCTGTCTCTCTCTGGTGAGTGCACATGCCCTGTAGCAAATGAGAGAATAATAATAATAATTAATAAAATAAATATAATAATACTTTAAAAAATTTGGAAAATGAGGGGTCAAGTTCAAATTAAGCCTCCAGGAAAAAAAAAATCATAAAAGGTTGACTTATTTATTCCCATGCAAATTTAAATAAATTGCACTTACTAAAATGTAAAACTGAATCATTTTGATTAAATTAAACCTTTAATTTAAAACTTAAAAATTTATTAGTGGACAGTGAAATTTAAACATGAGGGATCTCGGGACCAGCAGACAGTGCAATAGTTACATTGGTGAACTCCCACATGACAGACTGTGGTTTGAGTCCCAGACCCAGAGGCTTGAAACTCACACTAGGCATGTGTGCTTGCCTGTGTACCCAAAATCCTGAGACGAGAACTGAGGAGAAAAGATTGCAGCATGGCCATCCCACCTGGGGGTGATTTCCCGCTCTCTTTCTCTCCGGTGAGTACATGTGGCCTATAGCAAGAAAAAAAGAAAAAAAAAAAAAGGTGAAAGATCTCAGAAATGTATTACATTTAAGATTTTACTTTTATTTGATTTTAAGAATTGAGCTTTTCCCATAAGCAACCTGAGGTGAACATTGAAAGTGGTTTGCTATCCCCTTGACTCAGAATCTCACAAAATTGTGTAAATCAAGAAGTTCAAATCTTCATGTTTACTTTAACAACACCTGTGACAGACCAGCAGATGGCTTAGCAGTTATATTGCTGGACTCCCACATGACTGACTTCGGTTTGAGTCTGGACCCAGTGGCTTGAAACTCTTGCTAGATGTGTATGCTTGTGTACCAAGATCCCCAGAGGAGAATACTGGTATCATTACATGTTCAAACTAAGACAGAATGTTTACATACTGGTTTAGTCTTTCTTTTAGATACAATTCCTCTCCCCAGAGGAGAATGGAGGAGAAGGAATTGCCATGTGAACATTCCCCCCTGGGAGGTGATTTCTCACTTTCCCTTTCACTGTCTCTGTCTCTCTCTCTGAAAAGCACGTGTGCTTTAAAGCAAAATCCTCTTAAAAACAACAACAAAACACCTGTGAAATGGCCCACCCAGGTCATAAGGGTATGCATATTCAAGAAGCCACCCAGTATCTAAAAGATGTCACCTTATGGAAGCAATGTGTGCCCTTCTGTGGTTACAAAGGTAGAGTCGGTAGGTGTGGCCAGGCCAAACAATGAGGCTGGACACAGGGATCATGGCCCAAGAACAGTGCTGAGTTTTTGCTGCACATGCTTACAAGTGCAGAATAATGTTGCGCTTGAGGGTTTAGAAGTAGATTGTCTTGTTATTGAGCGTATGTGAACAAGGCACCTAGCATGTGCCCTCGTACTGACAGAGCTCATGGGCCCATTAACTCACACATGAGCGTCCCTGCCAAATCGAGAGGATCCTCACAGAAAAGGAGCTGATTGTTCCTAAACCAGAAGAGGAGGTTGTACAGGAGATAGGCATATCCCTGAAGAAACTGAAGAAACAAAAACAGCACAAGAAGAAAATCAGCATAACATAAAAGCAGATAAAAGTGAAAGAATATTGAGTGTCTTTGTTAGTAAACCTATTTCAGTTGTCTACTCATTGTGAATGCTGTGTTTTGGGGGGAAAAAGAATTAACTTAATCACTCTTTTTCATAGTACATCTAGATGGAACCGTTACTTTCTTATGCATGAACATTATGAACAGATTCATAGTATCTATCAAAAAGAGTTGTTGTTGTTGTTGTTGTTGTTGTTTTCCCTTTATTAAGTGAATCAGAATCTTGTTTGTTTGATTTTTCTAGGCTGGAAGCCAGGACACCCTAAACTCCATAGCACTGAAGTTTAACATCACTCCCAATAAATTAGTGGAATTGAATAAACTTTTCACACATACTATTGTTCCAGGCCAGGTAATTATTTTTTGTTGAATATGACTTTAATAATATTGCATTTAATTTTTCTTTTGCTTTTTCAGTGCCTCCCTATCAGAGTCACAGGATTGCCACTAATGATATTACATACTGGTTTAGTCTTTCTTTTAGATACAATTCTGAAAGCATCCTTGAAACTTATGAACTATTTAGAGATGAATATTTTGCAAATGATTAACAGCTTGTGAGAACTATTGTTAGTTTATGTGGTAGGTATTTCCTGGGACATCAAGAGAAGTTCCAGATACATGTCTTTTCTTTTTTCCCTCTGTGGAATATATCACAAATATTGTTAGAATGTTTAATTTAGAATTATAAGTTTCATTTTAGGCTATTTCTGTGGGGTACATTATGGCTATCATTATATTTTAAATTAGGGAGAATTTTTGTTGTTTTTGTCCCAATTTGATACCATGATCAGAATGATTGATATAGCCAAAGAGACATTCAGGAGGATTTTCACCAAAAGGCCACCCAAGTTTTTTCCAGGTTTTTAGTACTTTGTTAAATAGAATGAAATTGACAAGTTGTATAATTTTGCTACCCCAAGTTAATCCAGTAAACTTTTTTTAGGACCTTCTACATGGTAAAATATTCTTGTATCTCCACTTTAAAACTGTATAAGTAAATGCTTTTAAATAGCTCAGTCGCTAAAGGAATGTAGCTGAGGCCAAGTATCCCATCCCATCCTTAGAAGTGCTTCATTGGCATGAGCACAGTTGGGTTCCAGAGTTGAGCACCTTCCCGAGTATCTTTCTGCATATCGATATTATACTGACATTCAATTGTTTCAAAGGAGATAATGCTACTTTTGTTTATTATTATTTTTTCCCCTGAAGTTTCTGTCTGTTTTTCTTTCATAAGAGAGAGAGAGATTCCCCACCAGGGTCTTCTAGCCCTTCAGTCAGCCAGAATTAGGGGTATCCACAGGTGTATCTGGCATGTTCAGGTCAACCCAGGATCTGAACCCTGGGCCTTCCCATGTGACTCCAGTATCATGCAACAGCCCTCTACCACCTGCACCACCAATACTTCTTTGAAACACAGCTTTATTCAGACAGTGATGATATTGCTCTTTGGAGTTCTTTCAAGAGCAGTATGTGAAGTCAACAGGGTTACAAGTTGGCCAATTTTTACTTTATTTTTGATATTTATGATTTTGTCAAGAGGATAAATAGTTGAAATTCGTAAACTGCCAGTATCAGGTAAATGGGGGGAACTCTGCATCAAAATTTTTTTAAAAATTAATAAATTTTCATCACTAAGGAAACAAATAGATTTTAATCTCTCTCATTTTTTAAAGTCTTTCTTTTTAAAAAGAAATATTTCTTTATTGATTGATTGATTGATTTAAATTTGACCAGAGAGGGACAGAGCAAGAGATGGAGAGAAAGTGATAAAGCAAGCCTCCAGGTCCAGGGCTGTAACTGTGGTCAGCCATGTGGGAGTCCAGCACCCTTAACCACCACACCACCTGCTGGCCCCCATCTCTCTCACTGTTAAGCTTATCCTATAATTTGGGATATTGCTGTATAATATGTAATTGACCTATAGAGAACCTAAGCCTTATATTTACTAATTCAAGGCTAACAATTACAGTCACCGGAACGTATTAAATAATTTAGAGTGATTCTTTATACTATTTCTGTAAAAAATAAATAGTTGATTGGTATGAGATTGAGGTCCAGCAGCCAATAGGAGTAAAAGAAATGTTTATTTATTTTATTTTATTTACTATTTTAAAATTTGCTCTAAGTCATATCTGCTCCTCAGAGAGAAGACAGAGAGAGAAAGAAAGAGAGAGAGAGAGAGAGAGAATAAGCCACTAGGTCCAGGATTCAGAACATGGATGGCCATGTGGGAGTCCAGTGCCTTAACTACCACACCACCTGCCAGCCCACAGGACTATTGTTTTTGTTTTAAGAATTATTTTTTATTGAACTTTATTTATTTATTTATCATTTATTAATTTCAATTAGACCAGAGAAGGACAGAGCAAAAGAGCAAGAGAGAGAGAGAGAGAGAGAGAGAAAGCAAGCCGCCAGGTCCAGGACTCAAACTGCAGTAGGTAATGTGGGAGTCCAGTGCCCTTAACCCCCACACAACCTGCTGGCCCCAGGACTATTGATTTTTTTTAGTTGTTTTTTTTTTTTTCTTTTGAGAGAGAGAACTCCCAAAAGAGTCTTCATGTGTGATCCACCCTCAGCCAGCCCAAATTATGGGCACACATACATATAGAGAGGCCCAGGACACACACCCAGAACCTTCCTGTGTGGTTCCAGTTGTGTTACTGCTCCAGTGGACTCTTTTAATAGGCCTACTGTAATAGTAACCATACCACAAAGAGGAGCTGCAAAAGCTTTGTTTCCATTTGACCTTGACCTGAATAAGTCACTTCCTTTTTGGATCTCAGCTTCCTACTCTCTGAAACTATGAGTTGCACTACGTTATCTAAGATGTCACTTCCAGCCTTTATTGTCGTATCTAGTGTCGGGTCATCAGAAAAGTCATGATGCATTCTGCATAGACAAGCAGGAAGGTACATCATGACTTTCCTGATGCCCTTATCAATAGTTGTGTACTGTTGATTGTCCCAGGGGCCACCAGTACTCACATTTTTTCCTGACAAAATAAGGAATCATGAAGAGTAAAAGATTTAGGCACTTTCACAAGCTGTAGAGTCTTTTGCTTTCTAGAATTTGTAAATATTCTGGAGGGGTAGGTAGTCTTATCTGAGTAGATCTGATAAATTAAAACTGCTCTGGTTCTAGAAAATTTGAAAGTCATCCATCTATTACTGATTTGATGATCATCTTGAAATAGAAAAGTGGTCCGGGTGGTCCGTGACCTCGTGTGAGAGTGATTCTCAGAGAAGATTAACCAGGAGCTTGGTGAACTAAAATCTCACTTTAGATTTTTCATTGCTTCAAAAGACAGAAAGCAATATCAGACAAACTTGAAAAGAAAGAATTTAAAAAGCTGATGCATAAAATATTTCTCAGAAGGCCCTACATTTAAATATGAGGACATGTACAAAGAATGTACTTTCACGAGTAGTTTATCTTGTGCTCACTCAAAAGTTACCCTGAATGTACACTTTAAGATGTTTCATATTTATAGAACATGTTGACTACCATGCTTGAAAAAATATTCTAGGCTGAAATGACAGCTTTACTTTATGTTAAAGAACTTTAGGACTGGGGCCCGCAGGTGGTATGGTGATTAAGGGCACTGGACTCCCATATGGCCAACCATGGTTCGAGTCCTGGACCTAGTGGCTTGCTTTCTTACTTTCCCCCTCTCTCTCTTCTCTCACTCACTCTGTCCCTCTCTAATCAAATTTAAATAAATAAATAAAGTTAAATAAAATAGTTCTTTAAAAAAGAAAGAACTTTAGGACCTTTGCTATGACCTGCACGGCGGCTGGACACATGTTCTGAGTGGGGGCGACTGCAGATTAGAGAATAAAAATAAAAATAAACATAAACATACAAAGACACACAAGTAGAGAAAAG